AAGGAATTTTTATAGAGTGGAGGGGAGAATTTTTTTTAATTATATATGTTTGATTCAAATGAGAGGAACGGATGAGGATGAGTATGCTTGTATGTATATGTGAGTTGTGATACTGGTGGAATATGGATAACTTGAGTGACATACATGATTAATTGTTATTTGTGATTATGTGATGTTGTATAACTATATGCATTGTGTGCATTATGATGACTATGATGTCATGCAATTAATGGATAATTCAAATGAGTTGAATTGTTTCAGATGTCCGTCCCTGATTAAGATCTCGATGGCGTCCTTGAGATGTATGCAGTCGTCGGTCAGGTGACCGTGACTGCGATGGAACCTGCAGTATTTGCTTTTGTCGGTGCCAGGTTTGGCCTGAGTTTGCCTGGGATACCGGACTCCAGCTTGTTTGAATTTTGCATTAGCGCAGTCGGTGAGGATGCGCTCGCGGGAAGCGTTGAGGGGCGTGTAGTCGTGGAAACAACCGATCGGACCCTTATGATCTCTGGGTTCGCGGGGCCTTTCTTCCCGCTTCTTCTCCCCCCTCGGCGAGATGTCGAGGGTTCTTCAGCTCGAGAGCTCTTAGCGTTTTCTCTATGCCGCGAATCCCGAGCAGAATTTGTTGCTTCTTTCTCTTCGTACTGAATGTACGCCTAGGCCTTTTTGAGAAAGGCGTCGAGGGTGGAGGGGGTCTCTATCCCGACTGCTTTGGCGAAGTCGCTTCTTGGTCGAAGACCTCGCTCTAGGAGATATTTCTTCATATCATCTGTTGTTGATACTTGTACGACCTCTTTGTTGAAATGCTCAATGTATGCTCGGAGGGATTCCTCCTTTCCTTGTATAATAGCTTCGAGGGAAGCCTCCGACTTAGGGTGGCGTCGGGATGCCGTAAAGTGTCGAGAAAATAATTTTCCCAAGTGCTTCCAGGAGGTGATGGAGCCATCTGGAAGGCTCTTATACCATGCCATAGCGCCTTTCCTCAGAGTGGTCGGAAAGAGACGGCATTTGGTAGCTCCTCGGTGTAATGCGGTGGAACTGACGGGGTTGTTTTGTTTTGTATTAAAACATGTGCGGTCAGCAATGAGTCGCCACCGGCTTTTCTTTTATCCAATAAGGAAAGGGTGAAAAGTACAGGAAAAGACCTAAGAGATTAAAGGGTTCGGGGAGTTGATTATACGAAGGGAAGGTATTAGCACCCTTCGTATCCATGGTTATCCATGGGCTCTTAGAGGATAGGATCACTTGCTTTTATTGCTTGATTTGAAAATGTGTGTGAGGCGTGTGTTTGAAAAGTACTTTGAAAATCTAGCTTTTACTTTTTGTCATAATCCCTTGTTTGGGACGTCTACAAAAAGGTTAGCTTAGATGTTTTTGAAAAGTATTTTTTTGAAATAGTATTGAGTCTTTTGAAAATTTCTTTAAGCAAGTGATCCTAGCTAAGAGCTATCGACTCCACGACCCTACTTAGGAAATTTTCTGTATTTTCGCTTTCCAGGGTAGTGAGGTCATCTTACCATGAATTGGTAAGAGACCCCACAATTGGATGTGAGAGGGACATCGATTAAGGTCTTTTAAGTGAATGACCGTCTTACCATTGATTGATAAGAGGTCACCCCTTTTAAGACTCCGCGGGGAAACAGGGGCAAAACAGTCCTTTTAGCGTCAAGGGTACCCTTAGCAATTCCCATGGGACATCATCGTTTTAACCGAGGGACTGGATCACTTTTATCGAAGGCAACATCGAAGGGACATAGTGATCCGTTTATCTGTAGGGACTTGATGATTTTATTTGATATTGTACCTTGCTAAGGGTTTCCTTGTAATTTGAGGGGCTTGACTGTTTTGTCCGTTTAGCGTCAAGAGTGAGTATACCCTAAAGGTGCGAGTGTGATAAGTGTATTGTTTTCAGTTATGTTATCTTGATGATTAGTGATCTACGATCGATTGATTTTATCTTGCATCCACGCAGTTTATATTTTGCAGAAAGTAAAGAGCAGAAAAGTAAATCCTAGACTATTACTTAGCTCTTAGGCCGTCACAAGAGATGCGGGAAATTAAAGGGCAGAAATGTAAAGTGCAGGAAAGTAAAACCTAATTAACTATTACATCCCCAAAACTTTTGCAGAAAAGTAAATTGCGTAAAAGTAAAAGAATTGTAAATTGAACCTGCACAGTGAACAGAAATTAGTTGCAAATATGTACAGACATCTGGGAGTATATCTGGGAGTATAAGCCTCAATTCCTCTCGTGCGTTTTGAGGCTTTATGGTTTAGATAGCTTCTAAACATCATATAGAAGCTATTCAAACATCTGCATTTGATCTGTAACACCATTTTTATAGAGCACTCACCATAACTTTTTCAGGTTCAAGGTGAAATCGTATTTTTAGTTGCAGGCAATTTCAAGAACTTTTGAACATTGCAAAAGCTTCCTGGAGGATCATAGAAGGTGTCCAGATCATTGGAACACTCCCAGGTCCTCTAAATTGTGCTACACGAATTCATTTTCAGAGGGTTTAATTGTTAGAATCCATCATTTTTGGGTTCTTCGGATTTTTACAGAAATTCATCATGATCATTGACTGTTAATTGTTATGGATTACATGGTTGAGTTCGTGTGATTATTCTGATCAATTTAGAGTTTTATTTTGTTAAAAATGGTTAAGTTTTGGCAAAGTTTGAAAATTGAAAATTGGCCCCCTACTTATCACAAAATTATTTTCTATATTTAAATATCTTATTTATTTTAACTTAAAATTATAATTTAAACTATTTAAATTAATATAAAATGAATAAATAAAACTTAAATTTTATAATAATAATTTAAAATAATCTTAAACAAAAAAGGTTGATGTAGTACTCAAAATTCAAAAATAACCTCAAAAAGGATTCTTTTTGCTACAGCAAACGCATGATAGGAAAATACTAGCTGCATTCAAGAAATATAGATGTAGTACTCTAAAAAATTAAAAGTTTCAAAAAAATATGACTATAATATATATTTTTACTATTTCGTATTTTTTTTCAATTTTAGTAAAAAATTGCACAAAGCAATTAAATTTAAAGTTTTATTTATTTAGTTTATTACATTATCCTATTTTTAATTTAAAAAAGGCAATGTAAGAATATTAAATTATTTTAAATTTATTTTCTTCTATTGCAATGCTTTCAATTTATTTTATAATAAAAATCAACGTAGTTATTTGTTTTGTTTGGATTCATAATTATATTTATTAAAATTTTTATATAAAGTAATATTTGTTTCAATCATTAATCTTTGTTAAAAAATTACAATTCATCTTTGTTAAAAAATTACAATTGATTAGAATTAAAAATGCAAAAATATAGATTCTAAACAACATTCACCATTCCATTTCAAATACAAAATATAAATAAATAACAAAATAATAAATCATAGACCAACTTCTTCTCTTGTTTTATTCAAATCTTTCTTTTTAATAGTACTCGTAGTACATTTTTTCCATTCCTATGCTACAAGTACAAAGAGCACTGCATGATGATACTGCATTTTCTAAAATACGTTGATTTTCTGCAGATTTTGACATTGACATTTCAATGCTCTGAATTCTTGTGCAACAAACAAACAAATTGGAAACTTGTGCATATTGGGTTTGAGACCTTGCAGATGCCTGGGAAACCGGTGCATATTTGGGCGTGAGGGCCTTGCAGATGCCTCGGAAAAATGGCATAGTTGTTGAATGGTACCGCATGTATTGCACTGTTGAGTCACATAACATGTTGCATTATTTTATTGATATATGATGTGTATGATTGTTGTGAATTGGATGATCGATTGAGGTGAGATTACATGATGTTGAATTCTGTATGACTCTGATTATGTATCACTTATCATAATCCTGTTTATGTGGTTTGATATCTCACCCTTTGCTTGTTTTTCGCCATTGCCTTTATATTGGTAATGTACAGGTAATCGCGAGGAATAGCTTATAACAGATAGAGTGAGTCTTTGGTATCGGTCGCTCTGATACGTAGCACTCGGGGGGAATTGGTGTCTTGTCTTGTTCATTTATTTGAAAGTTGAATTTAGGTTTTCTATTGAAAAGAGTTATATTTTATCACGAACAAAGTATAACACAGTCAAATGAGGTTGATGTGGTCTCCATAACGGTCATGTAGCAGTCACGAAGATATCAAAAACCATGAAAATCACGCCTATGGTTCACGTGGAAGTCGTTCTAGCCGTGGAGGCGGTCGTTTTGGCCGTGGTGGAGGACGTTTTGGCAAAACGACGTGTCAGATTTGTCATAAATCTAGTCGCGATGCTTCAGTGTGTTATTATCGCTATTCCAGCTCCAGTGTGTTCTTTCACATTTTGATGTTATAGTAATTCAAGCAATCTCTTCCAACTACTTGTAGAAAAGTCAGAAATTTATCAAATATTTATATAACCGGTATAATTATAACTTTCTAAAACAATCATGCATATTTCCATTTAACTACAGTGACGGAAAAACATAATTATAAAATATATTACATTTCTAAAGAGTTTTCCTAAAGCTTATAAATTTAGAAATAATCATCATTCATCATTTCATCAACCCATTAATATATTTATTTAAATAATATATTCTTTTTACTGGTATATTTTAACATAAACAAATATTTAACAAATCAATTTAAAATCCAAATAATATTCAAAAATATCACTTCTAATATGCTTAATAATAATAAGTTAATTACATATAAAATCTTTCTAATTACATGAATGCCAAAATAGAATCATAAAGTTAAACAAAAAAAAAAAGCTTTATATAAAATAGGAAAGTTATAATTTATTTGAATCAACATTTAAAAGAGTTTTTAAAAATTAGGATGTTTATATTAATTCTAAACCCTGAACCCCGAACCCGGAACCCGGAACCCCGAACCCGGAACCCGGAACCCCAAACCCAAACTGAACCCCAAACCCTAAAAACTGAACCCCAAACCCTAAAACCTAAACCCGAACCCGAAATCCTAAATCCTAAACCGAACCCCCTGCAACGATAAGTGTTCTTTAAGAAATTCGGTCAAGCCTTTGCATACTGGTAAAACAGCCACCAAGGCCAACAACATTACATAATAAAGATTACGGCCACAAGGACCGATTTGTTCGAAGGTTACATAAAAAAAGGGGCAGCATACTGGTAAAACAGATAAGTGTTCTTTAAGAAATTCGGTCAAGCCTTTGCATACTGGTAAAACAGCCACCAAGGCCAACAACATTACATAATAAAGATTACGGCCACAAGGACTGATTTGTTCGAAGGTTACATAAAAAAAGGGGCAGCATACTGGTAAAACAGCCACCAAACTCCTCGTCATCTTCATTTTCCTCTTCAACTTCGACCAAAAAATAGGGAGAAATGTTAGATAACTACAATGGATAGAATTGCCAAAAATATAGCAATTTAGAATAACATACTTACTTAGTGGATGGTGAGAAATCTTTAATAAAGGCAACCTGCTTGGCCTCTGACATTTTTGACCACATTCGAGCTCTCACCATCATTTGACCAGTTTCAGGAAAAAAATTATTGATAGTGTCATTTACTTGCCGGGCAGACAATTGGTCAGTATCGAAAAGACGAGTGAGTTGTTTAGAAATATTCTCCCGTTCCTCCATACCTATCACTAGCAACATGCCAAGCACATTGAGTTGTTTAGAAATAAAAAATAATGCATGACAAGCATCCCTGTACACTAATGTAAGTTGCAAGATGTTACCTAGTTCTTCAAAATTTTCAGAACATTTGAGTCTCCTCTCACCTGGAAATATCCATAGCAAGTAAGATAAATAGATAACAACAATAACACCAATACAGGACAAATCATGGCCAAGAGTCATATTAATCTTGTTATAAATGGTTTGTTAATCTTTTAATTAATTACTTATAAAAATTGCAAGCTGTTACCTGATGATGTTGATGACCTTCCTCTCAATCTCTTGACAGGATTCTTTCCCCCACTCCTTCCGCCCCGGAAGCCAAAAAGTCCTCCACCACATTAGCAGGAATCAAAGAGCTAGGGCTAGGGCTAGCATCACCCTCTACTCCATCACCACAGTATGAACATGGGGTTATCTGAAAAATGAAAGGAAAAAAATTGATAAATAGAATGTCAATTCTTAACCAGAACCAGTGGGCGTATATGTTAGGAACCCGAAAAACCACAAGTTACAGAATATAGAAGAAATGGACTAAAATGCACAAATATGGAAATAATGTATTATTTCTGAAACTGAAAGGTAAATAAATGCAAGAGGATGAATATCCTAATGCCCTACAGAGGCAAAAAGCCAACTGTCCAAAACAAACTATAAACTTCCATAACAATCTCACACTCCCTCACCTCACTCCCAATCATTGTGCGGCTACACTTAAATTGTTCTAAAAGTGGCACAAATATGGAAATAGTGTACTATTTCTGAAACCGAAAGGTAAATAAATGCAAGAGGATGAATATCCTAATGCCCTACAGAGGCAAAAAGGCAACTGTCCAAAACAAACTATAAACTTCCATAACAATCTCACACTCCCTCACCTCACTCTATATACTACTAAGAAGCATAACAAATAGTGCAAAAAAATACCTCGTCGGCTTTGATACTTTTTAACAGTTCCCAATCCTTCCTTTTAGCATCATACTTTTGAATTGGCGGATAAGGATAAGACGATAGGTTTGGCTTTAAGGAAGGTATTCTCTCAAACACAACAGCCTAACATTAGTTAAGTAAAATATGATTAGCAAAAAATAAACCACATGAAAAATATAAGATATTAACAAAAAAATGGAAATTAACAATTACCTCGAAAACTGGCGCACACGCTTTAAAATTATGTTGTTTTCCCACCGTTGCAGTTTTTAGCTTATTAAAAGATTCATGTAAGTCTTCATAGATTGCTTTAGCCCAGTTCACTTTTTCATATACATCAAGATCTTCTACCATTGACCAAGAACCTGTACGTGGTTTCTTGGGATCCGGGGAGGGTATTAAAAACATCTCGATCAAAAAATAACATAAGACTTTCTTAAAATTTAATCTACTTTCCTCGTCGTCTACATTCATTTTTTTCAAAAGTTCTTTAATTGTTGTTGTAGAGATTTTCCCAGAACTATCTACACCATATCCTATCACTAGGTCCTTAACAAACTGAGGAACTTTTTTTGCAGCAGGGGCGTTGAAATCAGGCCCGGTATTTTCAATACCCAACACATCTGCCACCTCTTTGGCACAGAAAGAAAAAGATGTGTTATTGTTTAACACAAACCTTCTATTTGTTGGATCGTAAAAATCACCAAACAGTTTAATAAAAATTGATGAACTCTCTTTGTTATTTTGTATGTTTATAACATCATAAAATACAGAGTTCACCATGAGGTTTTTCTTTTCAGGGCTCAATTTAAGTTTGCAAAGAGTCGCTAAGCCAGCACCAAGTTTTACAGATTGCCTAATTTCTTCAGTATCCTAGAAAATAAGTACAAAATTAAACACTTCAAACAATATTACTCTTAAAAGGATTCAATTGAAATTTACCCTAATAAATTCCAACAACATACATAAATACTAAACACACAGCGGGTTTTTATCCTGCAAATAGCGGCCGCTCACTTTATGACTTATTTTCAAAATAAGGGTTTTTATCAATTTTTTCCATCCAAAACGCAAAAGCAGCCAAATAGCGCTACCGATCCGCTACGTCGCCGCTATTATCCTGCAAATAGCGGCCGCTATTTCCACTTCTCTAAATAGCGGAAAGCGGCTTTATAGCATAGCGGAGAGGTGGTCTGACGCCACGCTATAGCGCCGCTATTAACATCATAGCTTTTTACATTGTAATTTGTAATATCATACCTTTGTTGACATTGCCATTGAAGAGGAGCCTCTTGCACCAAATTATCACCACTACAGAAACACACACACAAAGTCAAAACCCAATTAAAAAACCAATTAAAAAAAACTAAATTTTAAGCACATTCATACAAATACAAATTAATCAGAATCACATAAACCCTAATTTAATTGATCACTCTAACAAACTCAAATCCATTAATCACATCGAAGTATAATTTAATTGATCACTCTAACAAACTCAGAATCAATACACACACCAAAAACATATACCAATTGAAAATCCAATTCCAACTACATTCCTACGTCAAAGTAACAAATCAAATCGACAACTAAATATGTGAAAGTAATGAGAGAGATTACGATATGAAGAGCAGCAGAGAGGAGAGCAGCGGTGGGTTTCCAAAGAGAAGAGCAACCGGTGGGTTTAGAGAGAGAGAAGAGCAACCGGTGGGTTTAGAGAGAGAGAAGAGCAACCGGTGGGTTTATAGAAATATATATATAAATTTCTATTTTAAAATTATTGAATATTTTTGAAATAGAAAATTGGGGATTTTTTTTGTTGTTAGAAATAATAGAAGTTATTCCAAGATATTTCCAGAAAAACCTTGTCCATTTTTCCTTCGTCCTCTCTTGTTCTTTAATAAATAATATTTTATAGATTTTTAAAAAAATGCATATAAAATATTTGTATACTATTATTATTCAAAAAATATTATTTTACTATGTCATATATATTTTTTAAAAATAAAAATCTGTCATAATGAAATTCTTGATCGTAATTGATTAAAATATAAAAAGTTTGATATCGTATCATAATCAAAATTTTTTATATTTTTTTTAGTAGAACTCTTATGTATTTTAATTTAAATCTTCATTACATGTGGATCAATTCAATTTTAAACCGGTAAAATTTTAAAAATGTTGTTGATTTATAAATATCAATAACATGTTTACATTTTGAAAGAAAATACAAATAAATGTCGTCCCAAAGAGTTAAACTTTGGACCAACGGCTTATATTCCATTTAACTTAATTAGCAAGTGCCAACTGAGATATCCACCCACCCCATGATTTGTATAGTCCACTAACCAACTATCTCACATTATTATAACTCTTAAAAAAAAGTTAACTATATATTTTTTATTTATTATTAAATTAATTAAATCTGTTAAAAAGTTACAAAATATTTTTATTGTTTTTTTTTATTTTATCAATTTATTATTTTTTTACTTATATTTTCTACTCAATATTTTATTTCTCTTTTTTATTGAAAATATATATATTGTTATTTTTTTTACAAAATTTAGAAATAATTAAATTGTTGCTAATTTATATCATTCTATTTAATACATATTTATTATTAATATAATACGATAATTAATTATAAATAAAATTAATCACATAATACTTGTTTTTAGAACTAAAAGATAATTATTTATGTGATTTATTATTTTATTAATATACAAATTTTAAAAATCACTAATCACACCTCTCTTGTTGATTTGAAATGAAAGGAGATAGAAAACTACTATTTAGTACTCATTACTATAGAGAGAGCGTAAGATTTAAACAGGAAAAGTATTATTATATGGAACACTGTTAGGGCCAATATATAGGTATAGCCTGTCATCTTTGTTAGGGTAGTAAGAATAGACATGTTGATTTGATGCTACAATATCATGACATGTGCAGTACTCATAATGTATAGATATGGATGGATAGTAATCTTTGTTAAAAAATTTAGCTAGTACATGTGATTAGTCACTATTGAATTTCACCTAGTGTCTTGAAAGTACAATTTATATATATAGAATACAACATTTGATTTTCACCCGAAACATGTGTGAGAATTTTTTATTTAATTTTTAATAATAAATATTTTAGTTTAAATTAATAATTTAAAATATTACTCCCTCCGTTTAAGGTTTCGACACATATATTAAGAAACCGAATAATTTAGTCAAATCAGCATACACGAAGAAAATACCGTAGGCTTATACTCCCAGACGCCTCAGGAAGTCTTATACTCCCAGATGTCTCCACAGCCTACGGTATTTCATTCCCTTTTTTTTAGGTTTAATAGCACTTTTTATCTTCGACGAACCAAAATTTAGATAACAATCCTAATCATGATCGTGATGACAATGTTGGTAATGTTCAGGATGACGATTTTGATCACGATCATGATATGGATGACAGTCTTATTTATGGTGAGACTGTTGAAGTTGAAAATCCTAATAATGATGTGGATGCTGGGGTTGGCAATCTTGGGGTTGGCAATGCTAATAATGATGAGGAAGTTGAGGTTGGCAATCCTAATAATGATGAGGAAGTTGGAGACGGCATTCCTAATAATGATGTTATAGGTGTTGAGGTTGGCAATAATAATAATGATGTTCTAGATGCTGGGGTTGACAATCATGATGAGGGTGAGGTGAGTGATCCTTATTTATTTAAGTAAATTCGATTTATTTAATAGTACTTTTTAGATATGTGATATTTATTATTTTTATTTGAATTTCTATTTTATAATTGACAGCATAATAATAATGTGAGGAATTATACCCGTGGTGAAGGAGTACTAAGAACAAAACCCCGTATGCGTACAATGTCTACGCCGGAACAAGAATTGCGTGTTAGAAAGAAAACAAAGCTTAGAAAGCCAAAGATCAAGTGAGAACTTGGTTCAAAGTTTATTTTCTCATGTTTTGAATAGTTTTAGACCTCTGTTTGTGCTTATTATTAATATTAGAAGTGTATAAAAACAACAACACAAACATTGGTCTAAGCACAAACAGAGGTCTAAAACTATTCAAAACATGAGAAAATAAACTTTGAACCAAGTTCTCACTTGATCTTTGGCTTTCTAAGCTTTGTTTTCTTTCTAACACGCAATTCTTGTTCCGGCGTAGACATTGTACGCATACGGGGTTTTGTTCTTAGTACTCCTTCACCACGGGTATAATTCCTCACATTATTATTATGCTGTCAATTATAAAATAGAAATTCAAATAAAAATAATAAATATCACATATCTAAAAAGTACTATTAAATAAATCGAATTTACTTAAATAAATAAGGATCACTCACCTCACCCTCATCATGATTGTCAACCCCAGCATCTAGAACATCATTATTATTATTGCCAACCTCAACACCTATAACATCATTATTAGGAATGCCGTCTCCAACTTCCTCATCATTATTAGGATTGCCAACCTCAACTTCCTCATCATTATTAGCATTGCCAACCCCAAGATTGCCAACCCCAGCATCCACATCATTATTAGGATTTTCAACTTCAACAGTCTCACCATAAATAAGACTGTCATCCATATCATGATCGTGATCAAAATCGTCATCCTGAACATTACCAACATTGTCATCACGATCATGATTAGGATTGTTATCCAAATTTTGGTTCGTCGAAGATAAAAAGTGCTATTAAACCTAAAAAAAAGGGAATGAAATACCGTAGGCTGTGGAGACATCTGGGAGTATAAGACTTCCTGAGGCGTCTGGGAGTATAAGCCTACGGTATTTTCTTCGTGTATGCTGATTTGACTAAATTATTCGGTTTCTTAATATATGTGTCGAAACCTTAAACGGAGGGAGTAATATTTTAAATTATTAATTTAAACTAAAATATTTATTATTAAAAATTAAATAAAAAATTCTCACACATGTTTCGGGTGAAAATCAAATGTTGTATTCTATATATATAAATTGTACTTTCAAGACACTAGGTGAAATTCAATAGTGACTAATCACATGTACTAGCTAAATTTTTTAACAAAGATTACTATCCATCCATATCTATACATTATGAGTACTGCACATGTCATGATATTGTAGCATCAAATCAACATGTCTATTCTTACTACCCTAACAAAGATGACAGGCTATACCTATATATTGGCCCTAACAGTGTTCCATATAATAATACTTTTCCTGTTTAAATCTTACGCTCTCTCTATAGTAATGAGTACTAAATAGTAGTTTTCTATCTCCTTTCATTTCAAATCAACAAGAGAGGTGTGATTAGTGATTTTTAAAATTTGTATATTAATAAAATAATAAATCACATAAATAATTATCTTTTAGTTCTAAAAACAAGTATTATGTGATTAATTTTATTTATAATTAATTATCGTATTATATTAATAATAAATATGTATTAAATAGAATGATATAAATTAGCAACAATTTAATTATTTCTAAATTTTGTAAAAAAAATAACAATATATATATTTTCAATAAAAAAGAGAAATAAAATATTGAGTAGAAAATATAAGTAAAAAAATAATAAATTGATAAAATAAAAAAAAACAATAAAAATATTTTGTAACTTTTTAACAGATTTAATTAATTTAATAATAAATAAAAAATATATAGTTAACTTTTTTTTAAGAGTTATAATAATGTGAGATAGTTGGTTAGTGGACTATACAAATCATGGGGTGGGTGGATATCTCAGTTGGCACTTGCTAATTAAGTTAAATGGAATATAAGCCGTTGGTCCAAAGTTCAACTCTTTGGGACGACATTTATTTGTATTTTCTTTCAAAATGTAAACATGTTATTGATATTTATAAATCAACAACATTTTTAAAATTTTACCGGTTTAAAATTGAATTGATCCACATGTAATGAAGATTTAAATTAAAATACATAAGAGTTCTACTAAAAAAAATATAAAAAATTTTGATTATGATACGATATCAAACTTTTTATATTTTAATCAATTACGATCAAGAATTTCATTATGACAGATTTTTATTTTTAAAAAATATATATGACATAGTAAAATAATATTTTTTGAATAATAATAGTATACAAATATTTTATATGCATTTTTTTAAAAATCTATAAAATATTATTTATTAAAGAACAAGAGAGGACGAAGGAAAAATGGACAAGGTTTTTCTGGAAATATCTTGGAATAACTTCTATTATTTCTAACAACAAAAAAAATCCCCAATTTTCTATTTCAAAAATATTCAATAATTTTAAAATAG